AGAGATGGCATGAAGAACTCTGTATCGGAGCAGAGTTTCTACATAGACAGTGAGGAAGAAGAAGATGAAGAGAAGGTGCTATACGACAAAGTCGAAGATAACGAAGCTGCTAACAATTCCGATTCTTCGAATTATTCGAGCGATAACGAAAACGAGATCCGTCAACAAAGCAAGCCCAATTCTCTTAACCCCTCTTGGCCTCAGAGTTACAGGTTTTTTTTCTTTTCTTTTCATGTATCTATATCTCGTTTTCTTATGTGTGTATTACGATTTACGAGTCGATTTTGATCAAGATTCGTTTAGTTTTATGTTCTAATATGATTACTTCTCGTATCCGGTTCGAGTAATTCGATTTGATTAAAACCTTTTTTTATATTTATGATGAAGTTATTAGGCCATTTTTAGGGATCACATCAACTCCGAACTGACTTGATTACACCAGCTTATCACATCTGAACATGTGATAAGTTATTTTAAGAGCTGATAAACTGTTACATCTTATTTTTACTGTTTTTTAAGATCTTAAATAAAAAGTTGGAGTGTACGTACTCTTTTAAAAAGATCTTATAAGCACCAGCTTCTTTTTTGAATTTTTCAGATCTTTCTGAAAAAAAATTCCAAACACTTTGGAAGAGCTTATAAGTTGTTTTAAGATTTTTAAGATCTTAAGTAAAAAGGTGGAGTGTACGTACTTTTTAAAAAAAATCTTATAAGCTCTCCACCAGCTTATTTTTTGAATTCTTAAGATCTTTCTTAAAAAAAAATTCCAAACACTTTGGAAGAGCTTATAAGCTCTTAAAAACAGCTTATAAGCTTAGCCAAACACGGTCTAATCGATTTTTTTTGGTTTGATATTTTGAAATTAGTAACTTTTTTTTTGTGTGTGACAGGCAATCGATTGATCTGTACAGTAGTGTACCATCACCAAGCCTTAATTTTCTCGGGACACCTACGTTAACACGATTTAGCAGCTCGTTTCTATCGTCGACTCTTACAAGGAGACACACACCCGAGATATTGCCTTCTTTAAGCAAGCCTCTTATTACACCTGTCGATGAAGAGAAGCCTAAAGAAAGACGGAGTTCGTCACATTCTCTTTTGCCACCTATACCCTCGAGGAAGTCTAGTTTGAAGAAAATAATACCCGATGGTAAATCTTCGGTTTCTCACGAACTTCCGCTTTCTCGGCAGAGCTCGTACGGTCAAGCGGTGCTAAATGGTAGGTGTTCTTTATTCTCATTGAATACATTTTTTTCGAGTTTTTTACCGTTATTAGTCGAACACTTTCAAACATTAACTCTCTATTCACATCACATCATTTAATAACAAAGGGCATTTTAGTCTTTGTTATATGTATTTTCTTAGAGTATGATTGCATTTAATACTCCTGTGTTGTATCGAATTGCTAAACAAGTCCCCGTGTTATTAATATTAGCAAAACAAACCCCGTAATGCATTTTTTTCTTAGGACACAACCCCCTAAACGACGAGGTTTTCGGGTGTAGTTTGCTATAAAAAATTGCATTATAAGTTTTTTTTTTTTTTTTTTTGCATAAAACACGAATAATCGAGACGATATTTTTTAACGTAGGAATGAACGTACTATGCGGGGTCGGAATTCTTTCAACTCCATACGCTGTAAAAGAAGGAGGATGGATCGGTCTTTCTATACTATTTATATACGCAATACTTTCTTACTACACCGGAATTCTCTTACGGCACTGCCTCGACAGTCAACCTGGCCTCGAAACCTACCCCGATATCGGACAAGCTGCGTTCGGTACCGTAGGTCGTATTGCCATATCCGTAAGTATTCATCAATTATTTCCTAATTTTTTTCCACATTTTTTTAACAGCTAACGTTAAATTTACGTTTGTGGTGCAGATAATTTTATACGTGGAGCTATACGTAAGTACATCTCAACAGTAGCCGAATTATACGTAAATTTACGTATATCTATATCTCATTTTGTTATTTGTGCAGGCTTGTTGTGTTGAGTATATTATTTTGGAGAGCGATAACTTGTCGTCTTTATTCCCGAACGCGCATTTAAATATCGGATCGTTCGAATTGAACTCTCACCATCTTTTTGCCGTGATGACTGCGCTAGCTGTTCTTCCGACTGTTTGGCTACGCGATTTGAGTATTCTTAGCTACATTTCTGGTAAAAAAACAAATTCATCAAAATCAATATTAATCACATTTTCGAACTTGTTATTACATTAAATTTAATGTAGTAATAATATATATTTTTTAATAATTATTATCAGCTGGAGGAGTTATCGCGTCGATATTAGTGGTCGGTTGTTTGTTTTGGGTTGGATTAGTCGATCAAGCTGGTTTCGAGCCTCAAAAAACGACGACGCTAAATCTTTCGACTCTTCCAGTTGCTATCGGTTTATACGGTTATTGCTATTCGGGACATGCCGTTTTCCCTAATATTTATACGTCGATGGCTAAACCTTCTCAATACCCTTCGGTACTTTTATTGAGGTAAACTATTTTTTTTCTTTTAAACGAATTATACCGCCCTCCGTTGAATTATCTAATTACACATAAACCCCGTCGTGTTTGAAAATATTACTCAAACATCCTTCATATGTAATGTGTGTTCTTGTTCCATTTTACCTTAAAATTGCTAGAGTATATGATTAGGCTAATTACAGTTAAACGTCTATAAATTAATACAGTCGGGACTAGGGAAATTCTATTAATTTAACGAAATATTAAAATTATCGAGTTAATAATTTAGCACTACCTAGTTGGGACCAGAAGGATTTATTATTTAAGCGATGTCATTAATTTATCGAGGTTCTACTGTATATTTGTTTACTTTCTTCGCTATTTTGTAACTCGTGCGTAAATGGAAAAAAAAACGCAGCTTCGGAATCTGCACTGTGATGTATGCTGCAGTTGCCGTTCTGGGATACACTATGTTCGGCGAGTCGACTCAATCGCAGTTCACTCTCAACATGCCGCAAGACTTAATTGCATCTAAAATTGCCGTTTGGACTACAGTAAGTATTTCTTTTTAGTTGTTAATTTTTTTATTTTCGAGTCACGAATAAAACGAAAAAAATCAAAACTTACGAAATAAATTTTCGTGAGCTAGATTTATAAATTGTTTATGAAGTTAATATAACTTGTTCTTCTAATTGCTTTTCTGCAGGTGGTCAATCCATTTACCAAATATCCTTTTTCCCACTTCAATGTGTTTATTTACGAAAAAAGGGGGTCTTCGCCCCCAAGGATGAAACTAGCTCGAAAGGCCTTAAAACAGTCTCAACTTGCATTCTTTTTAATATACGAATGACAAAATAAATTTTGAAAATCGATCGGTTTGATATTAATGCATGTGCAGGAAATAAAAAAAAAAACAAAAACAAAAATTGCCGATTCCTTAATTACGATTACGTATGCATTAACGATGTCTCCCGTGGCAATGAGTCTCGAAGAATTGATACCGTCTAGCCACGTTAAATCACATGTCTACTCGATCCTCATAAGGACGGCTTTGGTCATTTCTACTTTGCTCGTCGCTCTTAGCATTCCCTTCTTCGGTAAATTTACTATAATACCCTTTTTCGTCTTTTACTACGAAAAAAAAACTTCGTTCGTCTCATTATTAATTCGACGGATAATGCAGGTCTTGTGATGGCATTGATTGGTTCTTTACTCACAATGCTTGTTGTAAGTCATCATCTTCTCTCGTTTACGATTCCGTATTTTTACTATTTCCACTAACTAAATTTACTTTCGGCAGACCTTGATTCTTCCATGCGCGTGCTACATGAGCATCGTAAAGAGAAAAATAAGCTTATTTCAGGTACCCTTTCGATAAAAAAATGAATCAAGAATTTGCCGAATCAAATTTTCATTTCTATATTTCATATATTTTTATTAATAAATATTTTTTTTTCGTTTTTTTCTCAGGGGTCGATGTGTGTATTGGTGATTGGAGTCGGATTAGTTTCTGCGATATTCGGAAGCTATTCGGCGCTCTCCCAGATTATCCAGAATTTGATCTGATATTTTTTTGGCATTGTGTTTCATATAATTTGTGTGCAATCTTTGCATTTAAGTGAGGTGAAAACAGTTGTGTTTTGCAAATTGTTGTTATGTTATATTATATTATAAATAGTTTCTCTGAAAATCGAATGGATTAGACCGGAATCGCTATTTCAGGAAATTTCGAAATTTTCAAAAGTAAAAAAAGATTATTATTCTTATTTTATTTTTTTGAAAAAACAAAATTTGAAAATCAGATTTACTTTTTGTTAATAGTGGAAAGGGTGTAGTAAAATCGGAAAATTTCGGATCGAAATCGTAGGGATGATGTAAACATTTTGTTTCGATTCGTTAATATATAGAATGTATAGCACAATATAATCAAATCAATGTTATAAGTATTTTGTGAAAAGAGTAGAACTTTCGGAATTATTTTTGGAAATTAATTGAAAACCGAAATTTCGTTTATAAAATAAATAAAAAATCATACCCTGACCGCCGAATAGGTTGAATTGTTGTGAGGTGCAAGATATTTGTGAGGGTGAGATATTTTTCTTAATTTTATTTTTGAAAATGTGCAAATTTCAACTTATGTACAGTAAAACCTCGATAAATTAATAACTTTGCAACTGACTCTATATAAATATACTAGAATTATTAATTCGATAATTTAATATTTTACTAATCTTTATAAATAAATAAATTGGATAAAATACACCTACACCCCTGAATTATGCTAAAATAACTTTAAAATTCCTATAGTATTGATAATTACAACCACAATCCTGAAACAATTATCGGAATCTGTCCAGGAAACCGATATGCATCCGCGAGACCGATGCTACGATAGACGACAATTTATAAATCTTATATAGTAAAATAATAATGATACAAAAAATGTTACCCCGTAGCCCTATGTTGACAACTTACCCAATGCATTATGTAGTTACGGTTTCTACCAATGTTTCAGGTGATGATTGTAATTACCGATACTACAGGGACCTTAAAGTAATTTTAGCATACCTCAGGGGTGCATGTGTAATTTTACCAAAATAAATAAAAAGTCATATTTTTGCTTCCCCTGTTTTCTCAATCAAAATATTCTGTCTCCATTCAAAATCATTCAGCCCCCAAACTTCTTCACAATAATCATTCAGAGAAATATTCTGTTAAAAATGGATATTTTGCCGTCGGTTAAAACCCAGTATTCAAGAATCCCTTCGCTATACAATCCATTTGGTTCGATTAAATCCAATAGAAATTCAATATCTCCCAATAATATATTCCACCCAAATATGGTCCAGAGATTAGTACTGCACACTAGCTACACTGAAAGCGGGTCGGTTACCCAACCGGGTCAAGATGATATACGGGTTTCGGTTGACCTGGTGCCCGTTTCCAGCGAATCCGACTTCGATCGGGTCGTCGCCGGCGCCCAACAGCTCGACGAATCCGTCGTCGTTTTATGGTATGCTATTTTCGTTTTCTTTTTTTGACTTAAAAAGTATATTTTATTTTTTCTTGACTCGTTTGTTTCATTTATTAATTTTATTGATGGAATTTTTTTTTTTTTGAATTAATATATTAGATTATCCAACTAGAATATATCCTTTTGTATTTCTTAGAGTAGGAATTCTTTAGAAATTTATTGCACATTACTTCTAGAATAGTTGTAGTAGAATAGTTCTTGGTGGCTTCTAGAATAGTTCTGTATAGAGTATGAGTTATCTAGAGAATTATTGTACACCGGATTGGATTGATATTGGTAGTCGATTAAGGTTTGGTCTTCGTGTAAATAGGAGACTTGACGTCCGTCAATGCTATCATTTATTTGAATACATAATTCAAAAATTTAGAACATCATCAAGTAGTGAACAACAAGAACCGCAAAGAGATACATGAAAATAATAAGCAACAAAACTATCTTGAAATTTACGGGATCTTCAACCGGAGAATTTCTCTTATGAATGGACATGGATCTGAATATCACATGGAATCTGAAAATGGTTGTATTTACAGGTTTAAAATGTTATTCACCTGAAAAAGTTATTTAAAACCCTCCGTAATCCCTCACGTAAGATCAGAATATCAAAACAGAAAAGAAAAGAACAAAATTAAAAAATTATCTCGAAACTTCTCTTGTTCCAAATCAATAGAAAATAAGCATGGATGATACTTTGAAAATGAATATGGATCAGCAAAGTACCGCAGCCAACTTGTAACTTCTGGCTGCAACTTTCAGTGAGATGAGAATTTCAGTAAATTTCTGGAAATGTAATGAGCTAGTGGACTGTTCGGCTAGTGGATGGTGTCTAAATTTTCAAAAACCATGTAGAATCAATAATGTAGTCAAAATCAAAATTAAATAGTAAAATCGTAAGATTTTAAGATTTACACACTGAAAAGGAGTAAGATCGCAATAAAATCGCAAGTGCTTGTGAAATAGCCTGTGAAATTGCGTTCAAAATGCGATTTGGTTTTTGTAAAGAATTGGGCTGGAATTTTGACTTTAAATCCCAATTTTGACTGCCTTGTTTTACAAGGTCGATTTATCTCTTATTTTAATATTTATTTAGAGGATAACGTATTTATGTTAATATTTACTTTAATATATATATATATATATATATATATATATATATTTACTTTAATATATATATATATATATATATATATATATATATATATATATATATATATATATATGAATTATTTCTCTATCCTTCACACGCTTGCTTTTTGTTAAGGCTCTGATAATGTTAGTATTTCGGTATGCAGGATGGCAAGTTGGTGCAGGAAATGTATATATTTGAAACCGAAACTCGAAAAATTAGCAGCTGATTATTATCCAAGGTAAGTTCTTAGGTTCATGCTATTATTTTATTTAATGCTCAGTAGAGCGTTCTTTTTATCGTTTCCCTCTTATGTAGCTTAGATTTTGTTGAGTGGTGGAGGATCAATTTTCTAATGTATATGTTCATATTCACCCTCTTACGATTTCTTGTTTCAAGTGAATTCCATTTTTTTATTTATTACATTTTATAGTTATGTATAATTAGTCCACCCAAATAATTTCATTTAGCCCACCCAAGTAATTTAGTTTAGTCCACCAACTAAAATAATTATGTTATTATAGTTAAAGTTTATATATTTATAGTTATTTTGTGCTACTTGGATTGAATGAATAAAAAAAAAGATTTGGGGGTGTTGCCCCCGAACCCCCGTAAATATTAAGCCCAGCGTATCTCAAATTTCTAGCTCTGCCACTATATATATCTCTATATATATATGAGCTATTGAAGCCTGATAATAGTGAGCTATCAAAGGCGGATAATAGTGATATACTTGTAATTTTGTGGAATTTCACCGTATTGTCTATTTTTAGATCTTTTGTGCAAATTAAGTCGGTTGAGGGTGTTTGAACTTTTTTTTAATGTTCAATTTTTATTTTTACATATGGGCGCAGAATAAGATTTTACGCAATTGATGTCAATAATGTTCCCCATAAGCTCGTTGTTCGTGCTGGAGTTACTGTAAGTTTCTCATAACATACTCTGAAAAAATTGTAGAAGATATCCGATGAGTTTTTTATTTCTCCATTGCTTTCATTTTGCTCCGATAAACTCGTCGAAATTCAGCATTTTTTTCCTTTTCTTTTTCATGTTTCTGCTGCTCCTTGAAATGAAATGCAGAAGATGCCTACAATACAGGTAAACCTTTCAAAATTACCAACTATTATTTCAAAAAAAAAAAAAGAAGAGGAAAAACGTTTTACGTTTCGAAATTAGGGACACCCTCGTGCTATTAAAATTATCCCTTGAGGTTTGTTATATTTTACAAATACCACTTTTGTGATAAGTGCAGTTTGTAAATTAGGAACAAACTTCAAGCGGTATTTATTAGTTTATAGATGGAAAGATTACAGTTTTCATCCCTTAAGTTTGCACTGAGTTTACATTTGGTCCCCCATGTTTCAATAATTTAACACTCTTGGTCCTTTTTCCCAATTTACCATCACCCCGTCAGTTAAGGCAGTGATGGGCACACGCTTGATTCAGTTAGTACTAATGAAAAATTGATGGAAATGATTAATAGTGTTGAATTTTTGAAACATGAAGGATCAAATGTGTTTTTTTGTAAACATGGGGACTAAATGTGAAATCAGTGCAAACTTGAGGGACCGAAACTGTATTTTTCCGTTTATAGATTTAGCTTAACTTTGTTTGTAAATAGGCAAAATCTAAAGAGTGGTTCTTTTGTAATTTAGTGTTTTTTTGTAATATAGAATATGTGAACTAAACTTCGCATTTTTGTGACAGCTTTGGAAGGATGGTAACAAACATGCAGAGGTGATTGGTGGCCACAAAGCATATTTGGTAGTTAGTGAGATTCGAGATATGATAGAAAATGAAAATACCATGTTATAATAATAATCATTTATTATTATTATTATTTTTTTTTTTTTTTTCTTAAGAAAAAATATAATGAAATAAAAGAGTTAGAGTTGGTCATTTTGTAGTGGATTAGTGGGAGTTATTTTGGATTTTGACCGTCATGTGATTTTACCGTTGACCACATGATTTAATTTATGCAAATATATTTGGTATTTTGTAGCCATTTATTCAATGTGTTCAAGTGTTGTGAAAATGAAATTTATCCCCTTTCAGTTAAAATATAGATATTAATCATGTCCAACTTGTTACGAAGACAATTTAACTAGAACCCTATTTAATGCCTCTGTAAAGAGGTCTTCTAATTGCTCTATAATCTTTACGTATCTAGTAGTAATCATCCTTTGTCGTATTTTCTCTCGGACAAAATGATAATCGATCTGAATGTGCTTAGTTCGCTCGTGAAAAACTAGATTAGAAGCAATGTTGATAGCAACTTGGTTCTCACACTACAACTTTGCTGAGACTGAAGTTGTAAGGCCTATTTCATCCAAATGGTGATATATCTACATTATCTTGCATACATATTGTACCATAACTCGATACCCGGATTCTCCATTTGATCGCGATACAACAATTTGTTTCTTACTCCTCCAACAAAGACACAAAATCCCGTTGTGGATCTTCTATCCACTTTAGAACACGTCCAATTTGCACCTGAGAAACATTCAATACGGTTATGTCCATAATTTGCATACAAAATTCCACGTCCATGTGCACGTTTGGAAAAACATAGAATATGCTTTAAGGCCGCTCAATAATGAACTGTTGGAGTCACTGTGAGATAATTTAATTTTTCAAATGATCTCCTACATTTTTAAGGGTCTTCGAATCACCCTTAATTTTCCCGTCTCGGTTAGCAAATGAAGGACATATTTTCTCTGACATAGAAATATTCCTTTCTTACACCGTATGACCTCAACACCTAAAAAGTACTTCAGCATCCCTAAAACTTTTGTGAAATTGAGTATGAAGATCCCTATAGTATCACTTCCAGTAATGACGATATCATATACATATACAATCAAAAGGATCATACCATCTTTAGAATTCTTGTAGAAGAAAGAGATTGATCCGATTTGCTTTTCTTCATGCCAACACTCTCAACGAATGTATCAAACCAAGCACGAGGACTTCGTTTCAAACCGTGCACATATATATTTGAAAGATCGACTAACCTTACCATACTCCCTCTGAGAAACAAAACTAGGATGTTCCTCCAAATAAACCTCTTACTGAAGAAAAACATTCTTGATGTCTAATTGATGTAAGACATTAATTACTTGAATCAAATCTGAAAGAACTGCAACCTTTAATTCAACAACTTTCATATCACTCATAATAACAAAATAAAAGGTACTTAACAAACTCAAATTACCAAACCCCAACCACAAGACATATTAAAGAAAAACTCATAAAACCACAACAAAGGGGCTGAAATTCAAAAAACCCCATCGATCGTGGCGGCAATCAGTGACGATGACCATTGGGCTTTGGTCGGAACGAAGAGGCACATACGTACAAGAAAGACGGTTGCAGAAAAGTATGGGACATGCCCGCACGCCCCAACGAGTGGATTAGGGCCAAAAAGCTTCAGGCGGCGCGTGAGACTCACACGCTAGGGTTCATTCAAGAGCATCCTATAAAAATGAATGTAAAAAACCCTATTAGGATTACGATTTAACATCAATATTACACTCTAGGGGTGGGTGTGGGTCATTTCGGGTAATTTCAGCAATTTACCTACCCGACCCGACCACCCAATTTTGCTGAATATTGAAAACCATTACCGGCCCGACCATTATGGGTCGGATAATGATTGGCAACATACATTGTCTGATAAACAATGGATCGGTTGAAGGTATTATCGGTCATTTATTTATTTTTAATTTTTTTAATAACAGTAAGATGTTTTTAAAAGTTTTTTCAGAAGATATTTAAAATTTTGGGGAAACTTATTTGCAAAAATCGTAACTTTAAAACTAAGAGCTTTTTTTTATTGTAGTAAATATACAATGACAAATATTAAATAAAACTTATAAAATAGAAATAGTACGTAGAGGTTTATATATTATTTCAACGTTAAGAAAATAAGAATTACAAATAATTTTTTATAATAAATTTTTATTATTAAAAAAGTCGGTTGGCCGGTATTACCTGACCAACCGACTTTTAAATAAACTATAAATCACCGATCAACCCATTCATATATGGGTCGATTATAATTACCGGCCAGACAACAAAATTATCGACCAATAAAAGCGGGTTGAAATTGTGTCGGTTGGCCGATAAAACCGACTCATGCCCAATCCTAATACACTCCTTTTCAAATTCTCTCTTTCTATTTTAAATTTTTTGTCTTTCATCGGTCGATTAATTCGTCTTCGCTGGCCAAATACCAGACAAGGCATACATACTTTTCCACTGTTCAAAGAGTTAAGTTTAGATGGTGGATGTTCTTTTGTAAAATGAAGAATGAAGGGAAAAAAAAATCTAGTCCTTACCGAAAAACTAACTTTACATCTTACTCGGAAATTTAGCATATTCTTCTTTGATTAAAAAAAAAAATATATATTCTTCAAAGAAATTAAGAAAGAAAAAAAAAAGTATTTCTAAAAAACTGTAAAGCACCACGTGGCCAATGTGTCTAAATCTAGATAGTATTTACGAGCCGTTATTAAGTTATGCATGCACGTAAACGAACAATTATCAATCAGGAGAATAATGTTTTCTTTTTTCTTATTTTTTTATTTTTTTAAATCACAAAAAATAATCTAGAACACTGAACACCCACATTATTTGGTTTATTCTCTCTCTCTCTCTCTCTCTCTCTCTCTCTCTACCATCATCGCGGTTTATTCTGAATTCAGAAATTTCAGATTACCCATTTCCAGAAATCACCATTTCTCCTTAGATTAAAATTAATCCTCCCTTTCTCGTGAGTTTCTTTCTTCTCCCACCCACCTTTATTTTATTTTTATTTTTAATTTTATTTTATTTTCATGCATGTTTTCCTTCGTACGTTCCTGTAAATCAAACTCGATCCGCTTTTTCCTGATGAATTTGCTTTTTTTTTTTTTAATTAATTAATTAGGATTTGTATAATTTCTTCATGATCTGAAATGCGCCATTTTTTTTGATTTTTCGAGATCTCCTTCCTCTGTTTTTTTTTTTTTTTTGTGTTTCCATTATTGGAAATCAAGGTATTTTGGGGAAGCGAATTTGGCGAATTAGGGCTTCGATTGGAATTTCTACTATTTCCTCCCGGTGTTGAATGCGGGGAAGAAATTGGGGATTTTTTTTTATTTATAATTATAAAAATTGAGAATGAGGGGATCGAATTCGAAAGGGAATTTGGAGAGCAGCGCCACCTTACAGAGTGAACTCGAATCGCTGCTCCTCCAGCAGCAACGTAACCGCGGTTTAATTCTAGAGAGAGAAAGGGAATTGAACATTAACCGTAGCGGCAGCGCTCCCCCCACCGTCGAGGGCTCCTTAAACGCCGCCAGGGGCCTCTACAGTTACCCCCACATCGTCAAACTCGACGGCGGCGGCGGCGGCGGCGGAAGTAGCAACAACAACGCCGCCCCCGCCCCCGCCCCCGCCCCTACTTTCTGCGTACTGACGGAAGAGGAGATTTTGTCTCACCCGGCGTATTTGGAATACTACTACTCGAACGAGAATCTGAACCCTAGGTTGCCGCCGCCGTCGCTATCGAGAGAGGATTGGCGGATAGCGCAGAGGTTTCGGGCCGCGGGGTTCAATCTGGACAGGAATTTAATGGAAAACGTGGGGAATTCGTCTCTGTTTTCGACTCAGCCGAATTTGTCTGTGAAGAAATCGGAAGATGATATGCTGGAGCTTAGAAAAGCTGCATTGAGGAATCTTTCGAGGAAAAGTTCAGTTGAATCTCTGGATAAATATCTCACTGGTGGTGCTTCCACTTCTGGAATGGGAGGTAGAAGGAAGAGTTTTGCTGATATTCTTCAGGTTTTTTAAATTCTGCTTTTTTATTTATTTATTTATTAAATTTAGTGTAAATTACAGCCACACCCATGAAGTAAGTTCAAATTACGAAAAAACCCATCTTGTTTCAGGTAATTACAACTACCTCCATCAACTATGAATCTTCTTACACGTCCCAAATTTATTGGAATCTTCTATATCACTGTAGAATATTCTCCAGTCTGTACCCATTTTACCCAATTCGAACTCCATATTTTGAAACATGATCATCATAATCATCATAAGATAAGACGTGTCTCTTGTCTTGTAAATATTAAATCGTGGTGCATCGGAAAACTGCATTTTTGCTCTGCTCAAAAGAGTACAAACTGGAGAACATTCCACGAAATCTAGAAGATTCTGTTGAATTTGATAACGTAAGGGTGGACGTGTAAGAAGATTCATAGTATAATTGATGAGTGGTTGTAATTGCCCAAACAATAGGGACTTTTTCGTAATTTGACCTTACCTCAGGGGTGGATTACCCTTAAATTTATTTGTTTTCATGAATTTTGGAGTTCATTGCATTTAGTACCCTAGTATTATATTAAATTATCAAACAACCCGTATGATGCATTTTCTTTAGCACAAACCACACCCCCCCAATCGTGAGTTTTATGGGGTAGTTTGCTAATAAAAAATTGAATCGTAGGCGGTTTTGCGTATTTTTAACACGGGAAGTTTTTTAACAGTTATAGTAATGACAAGTTTGTTAAATGCAATAAACCCTTTAAATATCAGTATGTATGGTGGCTCTTGTTATTAATGTTTCTTGATGATGCATGTTGCATGCTCTGTAAATACTAAATATGTTAAGTTAGTGGCATAGTAGTAATGGTTCCGATGAATTTTCGTACAATTCTGTTAGTGTTTCTTGATATGTAAACGTTGATTATTTTCTCTCGTTTGTCAGCACCATAACGATGACCAATATAGAGAACAAAATATGATCATTTTATTCTATACTAAGTGACTTTTTTTTTAGTAGCAATTTCACAACTCAGTATATTTTTGGCTATATTGCAGGGAGGATCGGGCCAGCCCGTGAAATCGAATCTGTCACGCCCCGCCAGCCAAAATTCAGTTGCAGACGTTTTAGATTCAATGGCAAACAACCCCAACACTAATAATTCATTAGAACTACGAAACAAAGCAGAAGCAGAAAGAGCATTTGCCAGCTCATCATCCACCACCCAAAACCCTAGTCGAGGCCTTGTTACTATTGGCAACGGTGTTTATCTCGCCGAAAACCTAAATTCCATGCGAGGGGATTCTCGTAATTTTCCTCCACCCGGAATTTTCGAGATAGCTGATGTGGAAGCTTCTCTTTCCGGATTAAGCATGTCTAGAGGAGGTAATAATTACCATAATAATCCTCATGCAGAAAATATTCTAAAGTCTTCGCTTCAAATGGGGATTCCATTAAATCAGCTGCAGCAGCAACAGTATTACGGCGAAAATTCTCGAGCGGAAAATATGGCCCACAATATAAACTACGGAAATTTATCGAGGAGTAATAATGGATCGAACAACAGCCTTAATAATATGCCGAACGAGGGCGTGAATTTTCCGAGGAGGACTTCTTCTACTACGAGCCTTCATTCTCAACAACAAAATCATTCCGATATTTCTAGTTACAGAAACAGTGGATATTCGGTTGACCAAAAACCTCGTATGGGGATCAGTAGTGATCTTAGTACAGGTAGTTTATTTATTTATGAACAAAAAATGCATCTCGGCCCCTATAAAATTCTCATATTCGCACTTCCCCCGTCAATATTCAAGAAAGTGAGTGTCCCCCTTCAAAATTTTATTTTTGTTGCACGTTGCCTTGATAGCAATATTTCGATGGTCATTCACCGGAATTGAGTGTTTTTTGTTGCACGTTGCCCCTTTAAAATATTATTTTTGTTGCACATTTCCCACTTTAATATATGTCTTTTGTTGCACGTTACCCACCGGAAATTGGATTTTGCAGCAAAGTGCAACAAAAATAATATTTCGAAGAGGAAATTTATAGGGGGTTAAGTGCATTTTGTCCATTTACTTATTTATTTTCTAAATATCGCGATTGTCTTGTTTAATAACTATATAGTCAGAAGTTTTTCATTTTTTCGAGTGGTGCTAATAATGTAGATGGATTGGTTTTGAGACCTAGTGTTCCACCTGGCATTCATCTCCACGTAGTGGACCCACATCAAATTCAGTACATGCAGAAAATACCGAACTATGGAGGCGGGGAACCCCCTCATATTTCCGGAAATTCGAGTCGAGCAATGCAGTACGACGAATTGCAAGCTTTGGAGAAAGCTTATCTCGAGGCGTTGCTTTTGCAACAAGCGCAGCAATATCAGTCGCAGTTATTACAAAGACCTGGTGGAATTATTAATCATCAATACCACGCGGGCCCCACATTTAGTAGTCAGCAGCACTCTTCTTCTTCCAGCTCGTCGTATCAAGGAAATGTGGTCAACTCTCAAGATTCGAGAGGCAGTTCGAAAACTCCTGTCCTTCAGAAGGAGAAAAATACTCAACTGCCCCCGACGAGTTTGAGAAGCCCGAAGGGAGATCAATCCACCGTTACGCCACATCAGCAAAGTGGAAGCAGTTCGAAAGGAAGATTTGAATCGTTGTTAGAGGTGCTCAAGAATAATAAGGCGAAATCTTTGGATCTTTCGGATATTGTTGGTCATGTTGTTGAGTTCAGGTATGAAACAACCAAAAGTTTAGGGTTTATTGCATATCGTACCCCTGTGTTATAGCGAATTGTTAAAAAAGCCTCACGTTATTAATATTAGCAAAACGAAAGAAAAAAAAATAATAAAAAAAATTGCATTATAGGGGGGTTTTTGCTATTATTAATAACATGGCGACCTTTTTTAGCAATAAACTCGTTAAATTTATCTCTCTTTTTTCAAAATATGTTTATTTTTCGTGTATGATGATTCAGTACGGATCAGTTCGGAAGTCGGTTCATTCAGCAGAAACTGGAGACTGCTACTGTTGAAGAAAAGACGAAAATACTCACCGAGATTATTCCCAATGCTCGTGCTTTGATGATCGATGTTTTTGGAAACTATGTCGTACAAAAGGTAGTTATATATATATATATATATATATATATATATATATATATATATATATATATATATATATATATATATATTAAATAGTCTGTATTGTTAATGTAGTATTAATTTATGGTTGAACCAACAGTTCTTTGAGCATGGGATCGAAAGTCAACGAAAGGAGTTAGCTACACACATTATCGGTCATGTTTTGCCCCTCACTCTACAGATGTATGGTTGCAGAGTTGTGCAGAAGGTAGGCGTATCCAGCTCGTGTTTATTGCGTTTCTTTTTTGTTTGATCTTTTCTCGAGTTTTCACTAAAAACATTTGATTCTAATCACAGGCGTTGGAAGTGGTCGATGTGGAATTGCAGACTGAGATGGTGAAAGAGCTCGACGGTTCGGTTTTGAAATGCGTGCACGATCAGAATGGCAATCACGTAATTCAGAAATGCATAGAGTCCGTCCCGCAAGAACGCATTCAGTTTATAATATCGTCTTTCTTAGGGCAAGTCGTCACTTTGTCCACGCATCCTTATGGCTGTCGCGTCATTCAGGTTCGATTAGGCCCTTTTCATTTTTTATTTATTTTTGCTTCATTTACGTGTATATTATATATATAGTCGTTTTATTTATTTTGTGTTCCTTTTTATTTATTTTTCTTTTTTTGGAATAGAGGGTTCTCGAGCACTGCAATGATCCGAAAACTCAAGAAGTAATTATGGATGAAATACTGGGCTCCGTTTGTAAGTTAGCTCAAGATCAGTATGGAAATTATGTCATTCAGGTATTTAATAAGTCTGTTTTTGAAATAGATTGTTTTTGTTAATTATATTAGCTGGCAAAATATAATCTCCGTGTTACATTACATTTCCGATTTCCGAACTCATCGAGACTACTATTTAAGAATTTTAATCTAGAATATACACTTCAATCATTTTATAATCTTGGTGTAACATTTATAACATTTTTTCCATCTTGTATTTGTATATATAGCATGTCGTGCAGCACGGTAAACCACAAGAAAGGGCTGTGATAATCGGGAAGCTAGCAGGACAAATTGTTAAGATGAGTCAGCAAAAATTTGCATCTAATGTTGTCGAAAAATGCTTGACTTTCGGTGGTGCTGAAGAGCGCAAACTTTTGGTCAATGAGATGCTCGGTTCAACCGACGAAAATGAACCATTACAGGTTTTTTTTTTTTTTATTTTTTTTTTATTTTAAATTTCATCTATTTTGGCATGTTAAAATGCATATTAGCTGAAAACAATATCTTGTGACTCGAAAAACATCGTAAAAGTAAAGCCTCCAAATCTTTATTAGTAACGTCTAATTTGCTTTTCCTCGATCGGAATATAATACTTCAATTGCGAGACATATTCAACTTTCTTCCGTTTCTACCCCCGATCTTTCCTCCCACTTTTCACGAACTCGAGGGACAACATTGGGAAGAAAATTTATCCACTAAAACCCGTTTTAATTAATTTTTTATTTTTTTTGTATTTTGATTAATCTTCATACTTAATGATAACAAGAGTTGAAAATGCAAAAATAAATGTCAGGCTATGATGAAAGATCCTTTCGGAAACTACGTTGTACAGAAAGTACTCGAGACGTGTGATGATAAAAGCAGAGAATTAATACTCTCTCGTATAAAGGTTCACTTGAATGCACTCAAGAGGTACACTTACGGCAAACATATTGTTTCCCGTATAGAAAAGCTCGTTGCAACTGGAGGTGAGTATTAATTAAATAAACCCTTTTCATATTTATTATTTTACTCCATTTTCTTTTTTGTTACTCTATCGAAATATAATCATTAATCAACTCTCTGATTGATACTCGAAAAAAATTGTCATTTTACAGAAAGGCACATAGGGCAATCCTCTCGTTCTTGAAATGATCCGATTTTGGTGAAAATATTTACGAGTTTTGTATATATATATATATATGGCCTCGTTTTCTCGACAAGGCTTCTATTCGGTGTAAATGGGGTAGTATTTAAGATTGGTTGTGCTCATACTTTTGAGCTAATAATTAATAAGTTATTTTATTTATTTATTTATTTTTTGGGTTTTTGTATATTGTGGTCAGGATTTGGTTTAGTATTTTTTGTTTATGTAAATGGTTCGTAATATTGCGAGGAAATAAGGGTGTATAGAAACTTGATATGCAACACTCTTCTGCTGTTTATGAATTTCAGCATTGTATTATTTATTTTTTTCGAAACATAAGTTTCGGAAAATTTCTGATTTTTTTTTTCGAAAGTGAAAATTGATTCGACGATTTTGAAAATCGGAAATTATCGGTGAAAAAAAATTGAAAATCAAATTGGAACGAAAAATTTGTTCCAAATCGGATATTTCTCAGCTCAATAAATCTGCTCTAACAAATCAGAGTTTAAGAAAAAAAAATCATTAGGGGATTGAAATTTGATTTGATTTTCTTGTTTTTCTAATAATAATTCAAGTTTTAATCACATTACAGTCAACCTAATTCAAGAAACTTGTACAATCAAATGCCAAGTAATCTACAGAAATTGCCTCGATTATTTCCATACGAAATTTTCACCTTCTAAATCGATAAAATGACAATCAAATAACGATGAACGAACACACGCAGAATTCTGAATTGCTAAATTGCAAATTAAAGAAAAAAGAAGGTTAATATATTTACATGAATAAAAAAAAGTAACAATCAAAGAATAGATGCAATGCTTTTTGTGTCACCAAAATTGCTATGTACAGGTAAGCAAAAAAATAAAATAAATAAATAAATTGGTAACTAATGTATATAAAAGGCCCTGCTAAACTCTTTCAAAACTCACGACGAAATTCGTCACCACCACCACCGCTTCTTTTTCTTGCTCTCCTCCACGAAAGGCAATTCTACGAGCAAGAAACATATATATAAATAAATAAATAAGCACAAAACAAAAAAATAATTACGTTTATTGAGTAAACGATTTAAAGAATTTGGTGTTTTACCTCCTAATGGATAAATTGAATTGTAGTGAACTTCGGCCCAGAAGCTCAAGAATATAACTGCATCAACGCCACAAAAAAAAAACCGAGTCAAATCTTACCCTCGTTTTGGACAGCAATATAATAACAAATGACTGGTAATGGTTTTGAGCAAAACAAGAGTAAGAAATAAACGAGTAAACGTTGGATTTAAACTAAAAACAGAACTTACTTCTATTTGACTTCTGATTTTGTGGAAGTATCTCAATATAGCATGTATCCTTGAATGATGTTACGACAAATATCTTGATGCCAAACTGCCAACGAAAAAATTACAATTACATTTCCATTTTTTAATATAAACGTCAAGTCATGTGAATTAATAGACATAATTAAAACAATATTACTACATTTTGCGTGTAAAAAGAATAACAATCATAAGATGCTCGTAAATACAAAAAAAATAAAAAAATTACCCAATCCGAAGCAGCCTGTAACGTTACATGATCACCCCATTCCCCGTTCCTAAAAAAATCATGCAAAACTTATTTATTTAAAAAAAATAGGTATAATAAGTTTATATGCGAATTTTTATTTAAAAAAAATAATAATAAAATAAAAAAGGGCTCCGAAGGCAATTTTTACTTGCTCATTTTCTTCAAGTATTCACCGTAAGCCATGGGTACGTAATTCTCATACAATTCAGCTCGTGACTTCAGCTGTCATGGTTGAAACATAATAAATAAAAAATAATTAAAAAAAAGAGGAAAAAAAAGTGCTAAAATAGGGATTATATGAAAATGAAGAATACGGAATTATTGAAATTTGTGCAAGATAAAATAAAAAAAATATGACGAGCAAAACCTGGTTCACTATTTGTTCTCTAACGAATTTGTGATGATCTGAGCTTCGATATATTTGATCTGACAACGAACGGAACTACATTGAAGACAGTAAGATAATTTACTAAACCGTGATCAATAAGGATCAATTATAACAAACCGTAGTTAGATAACTAGAGGCATCACGAATTGAACGTTGATCCATTAATCATCATCATCATCAAGAAAAGTTTAATTAAGCACCAATTACACACACACACATATATATATATATATATATATATATATATATATATATATATATATATATATATATATATATATATATATATATATATATATATAATGAATATATAGATATAGGGTACAGGGAATGTCAAGAAACCAACCTGACAATTACCATCTCCCGATATTTTTAGTTCAACTAAATCATATAGCTGTAATCTGACATACACGAAATAAAAAATAAAAAAATTACAAGGTATGAACAGTCGAACAAAAGGACAGTTATAATGGAAAATAATATTTCGTAATTATTTATTTTGGATAATCATGACGTATGATAATCAAGAAAATCAGTTCAACAATCATTGTCGATGTTGCGTTCTACTAATTGCTAAAAAAATATACATTAAAAACGAAAACATTAGAAACCTGTCCAACAGCCTTTGATGATCTGACGTGGCTTCATCGACAGACGGGATTTCTCCATTAATCTTAGGAACATGCTGAAAACAATCACAAAGCACAGACGGGATTTCTCCATTAACATTAAAAAATCAATTCTCGAAAGATTTTCACGAGGAAAAATACATCCGATTCAAAAAACTTACCGCAACTGGAACCATCCGATTCAGCCTTTTGCCCAATTCACCATCGAGAGCCGACTCAGATTCTATCTCCGGTAAAATATCTCGATCCTCATTCGTAACCGATAATTCTTCCAATTCACATAAACATGCTTCATTCTTTCCCGTCTTTCCGTCATTACTCTGATTTTCTGTACAAAAATAAATAAAATAAAGAAACTGCAAAAAAAAAAAAAAAAAGAAAAAAAAAACCGTTAACCTGTATTTCTGTACCAGAATTCGAGTTTGTTTGCGAAGGAATCCAATCTTGAGCAAGAATAGATGCTTTTTGATGGTGTTCCCCGTTAGAGGTAAACCCTAATGCCTCTTCGTTATCAAGCTTCGATAATTCTTCTTGAAGAGCGTGAGCTATTACTTCGTCGTTCTCAACATAAGACCGCGGTTTTGGACTACATAGTAAACCTTCTCTTACAGAGCCAGTCGAAGACAAGTCGTTTTCGAAACGCGTAACAGTTTCTGGAGAACCGTTATTTGTTAGAGAGCAAAAATCTATGAGGTGTAGGCCCCACCGAACAATATCGGGATCTTGCTCGTACATAGTGATATCCTTGTATATATTATTTTCAGTAGCTGAAAAAAAAACGAGCCGCTTCGGTTCAAAGGAAAGTAAAACCATACTCATTTCATATTGACATTAAATCTCCAAACAACTCTACACAACTACAAATTTAGCTTTCTCGAAACAATTACGGAACGAAAAAACGAACCGACGGGCTAAAACCAAAAAATACATAGCATGAAGCCCTTCTAACACTTTCATCTTTTTCTAGAACCCTTTTTTCTTATATCTTGACTGAAATTTAGCAATTAGAAGATTATTTGAATTTAAAAAAAAAATAAAAAAATTAAAATTAGGGGTTCATCGCAAAACCTAAAATCAAGAAATAACAATGGCGAATTCTTGATTCTAAACTCCAAACACCAATCAAATAAAACCCTAATCTTTAAGCAATACAAACCTTAAATATCAAGAATCATTAACCATTTGCGAAAAAAGAAAACGATCGATACAAAATTCATGTACGTATATGCGGGTATGTACACACAACAGAGAGAGAGAGGCGTGTTGAATTTGTATAACAACTAACCTTTTGATTTTGAATTAGAAGCGAAGAAAACCCAGATTCCGCTGTGGTAAACAATAAAATGAAGTTTATCTCTATCTATTTGGTAAAAAGGGTAAAAACCAAAACGGTAGCCGGTTGGCCGCGAAAACGGCGGTGATTGCCGCCGTTAGGGGGTGGGTGTGTTTGTTCAACTTCCAATGAGATCGGTACACGTGTACTTGGTATCGAAATTTTGAAATTTTTTGGTGATTTTTCGGACTTTTCATTTTATTATGGGATTACTATAACAAATCTCAACTTTTACTTAGGGACTGTTTGGCTAAGCTTATAAGCTCTTAAAAACATCTTATAAGATATTTATGAGCTTATAAGTTGTTAAAAGGTGTTTGGTAAAAAATTGCAAAAGATCTTATTTTTTCCAAAAATAAGCTGTTAGGGAGCTTATAAGATGTTTTTAAAAAAATACCTCTACTCCACTTTTTTTTTCTTTAAGATCTTATTTGCTTCTTTACTAAAACACTTAAAATACAAAATTACCCTCAAATACTTTATTATATTACATGAATACTAATAATATTTATATTTTATCAAAACAACGTATTCTTGTAATCAAGATATATAATTAGTTAAATATAGTTATCGTAATAATCATAATAATTGTAAAAACAATTATTCTCTATTTATATTATATATGTATATAACAATACACGAATATTCTTATTATCTCCATAATAAATTATATTTCTTTCATCTATTAAAAAAAATTATATTTCTTTTACAACTTTTATTTTATATTATTATGATTATTTGAAAAATAATTTGTAAATATTATAATAATATTTTATGAACAAAAGTATTTGAGTCAAATAAGTTTAACAATTATACTGGCGTCATGTACTTTTTTGCCATTATAGCAATAAACAAACATTTTATTTCCAAACACCCGAACAACTTATAAAAACAAAAAGTAACTTATAAGCTATATATCCAAACACCTTAAAAAATAATTTTTAAAATAAGATCTAACAGCTTATCAGCTCCTAAAACATCTTATCAGATGTAGGAGCTTATAAGATATTTTAAATAAACTTAGCCAAACGGGCTCTTACTTGAATTCCAAAAAAGTAAAAAATAAATAATTAATAAAAAATTACTTTAATACCCTTAATGAAAATCAAAACCAAAATATTTCAATTTGTTTTTTGATAAATTGCGATTTTTTTTTTTGTGAAATTAGCCCCAAATCTATTGCAATGTAACATAAACAACATATTCTAAGTGTTTTTGGACAAAAAAAAATATAAATTGCAAATTATCAAAAACAAAAAAAAGGAAACAGAAAACTTTCGACAGCTAGCAGTCGAATGTTTTCTGTTTCAATTTTTTTTTCTGGATAAATTGCAATTTTTTTTTTTGTGAAATTAACCCCAAATCTATTGCAATGTAACATAAACAACATATTCTAAGTGTTTTTTGACAAAAAAAAAATTGCAAATTATCAAAAAAAAAAAATTGAAACGGAAAACTTTCATCAAAATCCATATAAAACTAAATTAAAAAAAACATCTAAACCAAACAACATCCATCCAAAAAAAAAATCTAAACCAAACAAAATTCATCAAAATTACTTAATGTCCTAAAACACACAAGACTAATCCTGTGTTTTTTTCTTCCTACTAAACAAGCGTTTCACATCTGCATGTGATTCTTCTAGAGTAGTATGAGGAGGAGGTGCTTGTGGGGCATTCGACGAGCTCGATGGCGGTGGAAGTGGCTCCATCGAGCTAGCTCGAGGTGGTGGTGGGGCGTCCGACGAGCTCGATGGAGGTGGAAGTGGGGCATCCGATTCGATCAATCTAACAGTATCATTTAGGGTCCCCCCACATGACCGTATGAGCGTCGGATGGCGCAAGTCCCCGCTCCTTGCTAAGTGTCCCATTCACCAACTCCAATATTTGCAAAAGTTGGACCTCCTTATCGGGACCACCCCCTGGACGAGCTTCACGTGGTCGAGGTCGATTCGCCTGGGGTCGAGGTGGATGGGCTCCATGCCTACTGAGTTGTAACATGCATCTGGGCCGGAACCAATCCATTTGGTCCGGCGAAGTGTCCGCCTCCCCGAGTTCAACTTCAACGGACCTCGACTCCTCGTGCAGACAATACTCCTCACACCGATCAGAGAATCGTTCGCCGAATATTGAGTTGTGCACTGGTCGACCTTTGTTAACTAGAACTTTGTACATATATTTTGACATGTATACACGACTTCGAATAATTTGGACCCGGTTGAACTGCCTCAACACTCTGTCTGGATGATATGCCTCGAAGTGGTCCATGCAACATATCATCCCACTAAACCAAACATAATCTGGCATCGGGAAACGATCACGAATAGCCATCTACGGTGACCATAAAACCTAGTAAAATAAATAAAAAAATAGATTTAGAAACCTACTTAAGTAGTAATAAAAAAATATTAAACTTGTATTTTACCTGATCGGGGATCAAATCATCTAATCGAGATCGCAAGTACGACGTCCTTCAGGCGTTGAAGTAGTCTTTGACTGAGGCTCCCATCGGCTGGCTAATGGCCCCTCGAATTTCGTCTTCAATGTGCCATCCGCCAAATAAGAAAAGTGCTCGTAAATCCATGATTGGAAGAGCGTCAGTCAGCCAGCCATCGAGTTCGTTGAATTTTGTGAGGCTGAGGATAGCTCATCGTACAACCGACAAAGACATGCAGTGCCCCAAGCATACTTGCCGATCCGATCCAAATCAGAGACGAGATTTAGATACTCCACACTTACCATGTTGCCGGTCTTGTCGCACAGTATAGTACACCCCAACAAAAATAACAAATATGCCCGAATGGCATATGTCCTCTTCTCCGCACTGTCTCTCATGGTCACCTTGCTAAATTTAGCCTTCAATCATTCCAGTTTCACCGCTTTCTTCTTGTTTACATCGTCCGGGTACTCACCTAGCAACTTGAACATTAAACAACTGGGCTTCGTTTTGGAATCACGGATCAAACGCTCGCAAGATACAGTACGTCAATAACTGGCAAACCGACCAACGTACTCAAATCATCAAGTGTGATGGTCATCTCTCCAACAGGTAAATGAAATGTGTTGGTAGCTGGCTACCATCTCTCTATGAAGGCTCTAAGTAGATGGCCGTCCACAGTGTTGTACAATGCTTGTACAACTGACATTAATCCAGCTCTTCGTATGGCCTCTATAATAAATGCCGCCGGCACCCAGCCTTTCAAAGTTCCTGTGTGATTCCGAATTCGAAATTCTGAGCTGCGCTCCGAGCGCTCTGGACCTCCGTTCACAATATGATAAGCAATGTGCTTATCAAAATTTGTGTACAATTCCAGTATCTCGGGACCTCGGACCGATTCGTTGCTCGAATCACCAACTTTTACAATCGAAGGTAGAGCCGGCACCGGATTCGTTGAGGAAGAACCCTCTCCAGACTTTTTCTTGGTCGTGATTGCCTTGCCCTTATCGGATAATTCCTTCCTCTTCTTACGGTTCGAGACAGTCGGAGGTATACGAGGTTCACTTGGTTATTCCACTGCAAAATAACACACAAATAAATATATATAATATAAACACAAACAAATAAAAATAGGAAAAAAAAATAAAAAAAAAAATAATAAAAAAAAATATAAAAAAAAAAATAAAAAAAAATTTACACTGTAAGAATTCGACAGGGAACTGTCGAAAATTTTAGCAAAATTGACAGCTAGCTGTCGATTGTTCTAAAAGTTCGACAGTGTTCTGTCGAATTATCAAAAATTAAGTTTCAAAATTTTCATAAAAATCGACAACTAAATGTCGTTTTTTGCAGAATTTTCGACAGCAATCTGTCGAAAATTTTGCAAAAATCGACATTTACAGGTCGATTTTTGTGAACGAAGAACAACCCCCAAATCTCAAATAAATGCTCAAATGGACTGAAATTAGATGCACTCATTACTAATTAACGATCATTCATACCTAAAACAATCAAATTAATCCTAATTACCCATATCAAACAATCAAATCCTAAATAAATATTAAAGAAAAAAAACAAATTTGAAACCAAATATTACTTGTGATAACAAAGGCGGCAACGGCTTGATAACAATAGAAGTTTCGGCGGCAGCGACGGTGAGGAGAGGAGTGACGGTGGAGGGGATTTGAAAGAAAAGGGTTTTTTTTTCTTTTATTTGGTTTTAAAATAAGTAATTTAAAAAAAAATTGATATAATTGATATCTTGTATGAAATGGTGTTTTTGTACTTTTCATTTTATTTTAGTATTAAAGTAAGAAAAAAACTTATAAATATTTACTCAATTGTGGTTTTAAACTTAGTACTATTCAAGTAAGCAAAAGTTGGGATTTGTTATAGTGACCCCTTTATTATGTAGTTTTTGATCTCGGGGTTAAAAATTTCGTGAATTTATGACGCAATAAATAGAGCAGTATTTTGAGTTCAATTCTATAATTGTGAAATGTAGTTTTCATCCCTCAAATTTGCACTAATTTTACATTTAACCCCATGTTCACAAAAAAATACATTTAGTCCCCCATGTTTAAAAAATTCAACACTTTTAATTAGTTATTTCCTTAATATTTCCGTTAAAATAACGCGAATAAAACATGTGCTCATCAATATCGTAGCTGGCGGACTAACGGTAAATTGACGAAAATGACCAAAAATATCAAATTAAAACATCAGGGATAAAATATATTTTTTGTAAACATAGAGGACCAAATATGAAATCGTTGCAAACTTTAAAGGATGAAAACTGTAAATTTTCCATGGGATATATTATGGATTTCATATATTATGATTTATGATCCTCTCCTTTTCTTTTTCTTTTTCATAATACGAAAGTGGTCAATTACGGGCTGTGATAACGAATGAACATGCAGTCAATCATACATAATATAAGCATACATATACATGGATATGTGTTTTTATGTCTAAATCACCGATTAATAATCACCATTTGTATTTCACCGAGTCCAGTGTCAAATTAATCTGTATGGGATAAATTTTCACTCTAGTCTCTTATACACTCTTGTATTTATACTAAATTTCTTACCAATGTATTAGATATGTCACATTGTAAATTTAATTCTTTTTTTCTTTTGTTTCTTAAATAAATTTAAATTATCATATATCAAATTGGCTAACTTATATGCATAGCTTTGAAAAATAACCAACATAATCGATACACGAACTACCAAAAATACCATCAATAGCAAGCACATATAATTGTAGTTTCATCCAATTTAATTGTATTCTATTTAAATGGGAGATAAAAGTGGATTAGAACATTCATAAATAATGAAATCTAATAGATAATCACAAATTTAAAAAGAAATATTAAAGTTAATATGGATCAAAAGCTCATAATGATAATTCTCATCCGAATATTATTTAGCCTCATTACAAAATCTATATAAAGAGATTGTGAATGTTTTGCTATACCACCAAAAAACGAAAATGGAGTTGCAATTTCTAAGAATTTTCGTGCTCTTATTCCTCTGCATCGCAGCCAATGCAAAACCCACAAAAATCGACGATAAGCTATTTACGAATATCTGCTCCAAGACAAAGGCTCCTTACAGATGCACATCGTATTTGAAATCGGTTCAAAAGGATGGAGCGTCTTCCCTTGAAGGCGTAGGAGTAGCCTTTCTCGGCATCGCTGTTAACAGAGCCAAACAATCAACGGATTTGTTTAACCGCTTTGTTAAATATGATTACATTGCCAAAAAACATTATATGAAGGCGAAATATGAGAAATGTAGCGAACAGTATAAGTGGGCCACGGAGAAGCTGAGTGAAGCCAAGGTGACTTTGAAAGCTGAAATGTTTTCACCGGTGAGAGATAATTTAGAAGAGGTGGCGAAAGTTCCTATTTACTGTGAGAATTTAACTAGATCAAGCTCGCGTGATGTTATAGGAGCAAACGAGGAGTCGGATTTTATTTTCGACATTGCTTTAGCTGTTGTTAGAGAGTTGGAACGAAGCACTAGAAAATTTACTAGCCTTGCTTCCATAAGTAACTAAAAAAAGTTAGCGTATCAAATAAGTAATGATATGAATAAGATGTAAGCGGTAATTTGTTGTTGAATTTATGAAGTTAATGCAAAATTAATCAATGTTTTTTTTATCTTATCAATCAAAGTATAATTTATGTATCTCTGTGTCAAATATCATTTTTACGCACATCATAGTTGATTTGTTCACTCTTAATTAAGTTGAGTAATTATGTTCAACACAATTAATATTAATAATTGTGTGACACATGAATATTATTTTTTTTATATATGAAAATTATAGAAATATGCGTTCCGGGAAATCGAAAAAAAACCATATAGCACGGAAACTTAAACTTGTTAACGTTTTCCCGTTTCTGAAACGTTTTGTGTTGAAAATTTGAAGACACCTGCTGGACACCTTATGGGGTCATTTTGCAATTTCTAAAAAAATAGAAATATGTTTGAATAGCAAAATTTTAAATATTTTTGTTGCTTTCCAAATTGTTTACATGATTTAATGATCACTTGCAAATTGATAGCTGATAGTAAATTTTATTTTGAATATGTTTGTTTAAAAATATACAAAACTTTTTTATATATAAATAAAAACGTATATATGTTTATATAGAATAATTATAAATATACCCTTATACTTTTAATATTTACATGTTTCCCTCAAATTCTTGTATCCCTATTTTTGACACATTCTGTTTCCCCGAATCAACACTTCCGTTTCCGTACTACATAGGAATAACGTGATTGAAAATGAAGAATCATATTTTTATAAGTAATAATGTGATTCTATTTCTTAAATATATCCTTTTTATTTTTTATATTAATCACTAAAATTTTATTTCCAAAATATATAAAACCTAAAAATAAACCAACAAAAATTAAGTATTTTTGCATTTCGTAGTATTCTTGGGGCAACAAAAAATTAACATTTCTCAAGAGGCCCAGCCCAAAACACGAATTACCAAAAATACCCCCACCAATTTCCACACAGCCTCACTCTCACTCTTCCCATTTCTAGGGTTTTACTTCCCATAATCAATTCAAAACCCCAAATGCAGCTGAAATTCAATTCAATTCCACCAAAATCTTCCAATTGTTAATCCATCCAGAAAGCAGAAGAAATGGCGTCGACGTTTATGCAGCAGTTTGCGAAGAAGAGGAGTTTACTGAAACGGTCATCGAAGAAGTACTTGGAAGAAGCTCTTTACAAGAAGCTGCTCAGCGATGGCGGAGAAGAGCGATGCGTTAGGGAGAAGCTGAATCAGTTTATAGATTCCCGTAAAAGTGCTTTTAAATGGGAAGCTGGCCACAGTCTCAAGATTCTCCGCAGCCGAAAGCTCTACGGCCCTGCCCTCAAGGTACTGTATCCGAGTTTTTATTATTTTTAATTAATTTGGCAGTGGGGTTTTGTTATGGAAGGGTTTTGATGTGCACTGTTGATAATTGGATTTTTCGATTGCAATTATAAGAAGTTGTGTTTGATTTGCACACGCTATAGATCAAGATCAATGTGATACCTGCTTGTGTGGGTTTATTCGTGTAAAAGAGTGTTTTTTGACGATGAACGGCGATGCCGACTGCCGAGTCTTCTGGTTGAATCATGAGTTCACTAGATGTTTGTTTTTCCGTCTCTGATAGAACTTAATAACTGGATATGTTTGTTTTTTTTTTTTTTTTCAAAATTACTCATCACAACGACATCGGTTTTTAGAAGAGCGTTAGTGGAAGGAGACTTAGGCTCCTTTTAGTCTACTTTAAATGGGTATTATCTAAATGTCGATTCCCGTCTTAGTCTCTGGAGCTTATCTAATAGGTCTATTTCTTTGGTCATTCTTCGATCAGGATATGACGATCAGTGACGAGCAGACCATTATTAATGGATCGACCACCCCCCAGCCAGAATGATTATTTAATAGATTTCCACCAAAATAATGTGGAACTTTTTTTTTGAAGTCTTAGATTTTCTATCTTATATCGGTTCGATTCTGGGCTGGTTGGTATAGTATATTTTTGAATTTGTAATACTCAATTGTATAGACAGACATCTCTTCGCATTCCCCATCTTGAAATAGTGGTAAAAGGACTAATATATCAGCTGCAGAGTAATTATACTTGAAAATTGTACGTACAATTTGTGAGTTGGTTCTCATTGTAAGAGGGGAAACTATTCTTGAACAGATGAATAAATTAGCTCGGAAGTTTGATTAAGACTTTAAATTAATGGATAGACCTGTCTTTATTTAAGATTCCAAGGTATTTAGATCCTAAGGAGACTAACTTGAAGTAGAAACTGGTATGTAACGATAATGGGTCATGGACATAAATCGAGAGCATTATTTTTTAGGAAGCTAAATCTAACCGAAAATGTATATCTGCATCAAGAAATTGCTTGTTTTAACAGCTTGATTTTTCTCTGAATATGTTACTGATTCTACCTCAACTATTTGTTTGGTACAGCTGTCGGAGGTAACGGAAAAAAGAGGAATGAACAAAACAATCAGTGATCAAGCGATACATCTCGATCTAATAGCAAAAAGTAGAGGCATTACTGCTGCAGAGGACTACTTTATCCGTCTGCCCGAATCATCAAAAAATCACCTCACTTACGGCGCTCTTCTCAATTGTTACTGCAAAGAGTCAATGACCGAAAAGGCCCAGACTTTGTTCGAGAAAATGAAAGAACTCAATTTGGAACTGGGCGCCATGTCATATAACAGCCTTATGACCCTACACTTAAAAAACGGGCTGCCAAAAATGGTCCCGACATTTATCCAAGAAATGAAAGCCAACGACATCATGCCAGATACTTACACATACAACGTGTGGATGAGGGCTCTCGCTTCTGTTAATGATATATCTGGGGTCGAGAGAGTTATTGATGAGATGAAGAGAGATGGTCGAGTTGCTGGAGATTGGACAACGTACAGTAATTTAGCATCTATATACGCCGATGCTGGATTATTTGATAAAGCCGAAAAGGCCCTTAAAGAACTCGAGAGCAAAAACGCCACCAAAGAGCTTTTGCCTTACCAATTCCTCATCACTTTGTACGGGCGCACTGGAAATCTGATTGAAGTGTACCGTGTTTGGCGCTCTTTGAAGCTAGCTTTTCCTAAAACTGCGAATTTGAGTTATCTGAATATGATTCAAGTCTTGGTTAATTTAAACGATATACCTGGTGCTGAGAAATGCTTCCGCGAGTGGGTATCTGGTTGTCCGGTTTACGATATTCGAATTGCGAATGCGCTGATTGGAGCTTATCTTAAAGAGGGTTCGCTCGATAAAGCCCAAAAACTGAAGGATCAAGTTCGAAGGAGGGGAATCCAGGCGAATGCTAAAACTTGGGAGCTTTATCTTGATTATTATCTGAAGAAGGGGGAGTTTAAATTTGCCGTGAAATGCGTTGCGAATGCGATTACTGCTGGTAGGGGGGACGGTGGTAAGTGGGTCCCACCCACTGCAGTTGTTAAGACACTGATGCAATATTTTGAGGAAAATAAGGATGTTTTGGGTGCTGAAAGCTTTGTTGAGGTTTTGAAGAAGTCGAAAGACGAAGTCGGAGCTGAGGTACTTGAATCTTTGATTAAAACTTATGCAGCTGCCGGGAAAAAGAGTGCCGTCATGCATCGTAGGGTTAAGATGGAGAACGTGGAATTGAGCGAAGAAGGCAAGGAGTTGCTGAACGAGATTTTGGAGGAATGAGATTGTTTCGGTTCGTTTATCTCTCTGCCGAAATTTTTACTTTGAAAAGTTTCGAGTTTTTTTTTTTTTTCATGAAGTAGCTATTTAACTCGGTTTCTAGTGTTGGTCTAGAAAAGCTGATTAATTTGGTTGCAACTCTTTTCTTGCAAATGGGATTTGTTTTCTTGTACCCATTTATCTTATTTTGTATACAATTTCGAACAAAATTTTGTAGCTTTTAAGCAACCCAGTAATTGGAATTTGGAATAATGACAGCAGCCATTCTATAAGCATTTCAATGTAGACATTGTTCTGGTTCGATGCTATGTTTCGATAACGAACATAAATTCTCAAACTATCGCTTGTAGTATGTTAAGTTATATTATTCTTGACTACAACAAATTGAAATAATATGTTCTAGCTGATAAACGTAGTCGGGGGCAACATGTACCCTTTTTCGCTGCGATTCATAAAAGAAAAACGGGAAAACGAGCAACATATAACTATGTAAATACCCAAACTCTCTCGTCTCGTCTCTCGTCTTTCAAATATTAAGATCTTTCTTGCCGGCAAGATCCTCAAGAGTGAGATTCAAAGTATCAACGGACCCTGTCTTCACCTTCTCACCACGAGCAGCCAGAAACTCCTCCACGCTACCGGGCTCTCCAAACCAACCCAATCGATCGGCAATTAAATGCAAGTTATTACAACCGTCGCATCTAGCAACAACCACGCCTTTGTCATACGATTCGCGACAGGCTGTCTTCATGGACCTCGTGTCGCAAACTGTGCATGTGAACATCATCACAAGGTCGTGCCTTTCCGATATTTTCAAGTTTGAATTCACTCGGTGCTCCACACTAGTCTCGTCTTTTTTTGGATCGGGATTTGAGCTTGTGCAACTTTCTCGTTCCTTCGAGTTTTTGACATCTGGAACACTTGACTCTGCAAGAGACTGAAATCTTCTGGTGTATTGCTCATAGTTGCGGTAGAATGCGTTTGTAGAAGGGTGAAATTTCCGAGAAATTTCTGCATCAATGCAAAGCGGAGAGAAGTTATTTATATAGTTAAAACTCTATAAAGTAATACAGTCGGGATCAGCCAAATTCTATTAAATTCTATTAATTTAGCGAAATATTAATTTAATGAAATAATTATTAGCACGCTGCTTTCGAGTCAACATATTATGTAAACAAGGTTGTTAAATTATCGAGGTTCTACACTTCTACTATTAGGCACCCATGATGGTCGATTCTAAATGGGAAAAAATCCGAAGTAGTTTTCGTACTCTTTCGATTCTGACATAAAACATCAAATAGGAAAAAGAAAAAAAAACACTATTAATCGAATAAAACACATTTCATTTCTGCAAGTTAGGGTTCATCAAAACTTTGGAAACCAATTGATTCTTCTTTACTGCAAATTGGAATAAGATAATTCAATAACTCAAAATCCCAATACTTAACAAGAAACTATCCCATTCGAAAACCTAATTAGAAAAAAAATGTCACAGCCTGAAACTAAAATTAGCTTCTGCGCAATACAAAAATAAAAAAATAAAAAATTCTCAATAATCAAAAAATCAAAATCAAAATCAAAATTAGACAGACTCTCAGCTGGTAAGCACAAAAAAAAATTATAATTTATTCAACACCAAAAAATTAAAATCAAAATCAAATTTTCGCTGACAAGTCTTAAAAAAAATTGGGCATTTGCTCCGAATACAAATAATACACACACACACACACACACACACACACACACACACATAGATATGCGTATGGCGGAGTGGGTTACCTGAGGGGAGGGGATTTTGGGGGATTTTTGCAGCGAGGAGTGAAAGAATTCGCCGAGCCGCCATTCTTCAGTTGCTTTTTCTTTTTAATTTTTAATTTTTCGTTTTCTCTGTGTTATTATATGTGAAAAATGGTTGGAAAACTTGCAGAAAAAGCTGAGATTTTATTGGGCACAAGAAAGAGGGCTAATTTGGAAATACTAATTTATTCGAAAAATAGTTTTGGGTAAATAGCACTTACCTCCCTTGTAGTTTGAACTTCGTGCACATGACCCCGTTATACTTTCAATATATCACATAACCCCCTTGTAATTTAATATAAACGCATCACCCGAAAACCCGAAACCGAAACACGGAAATTTGAAACCCAAATACCCCAAAACCAAAACCCGGAGGCAATGAAGTTGTAACTGGAGTTATTTCTTTGTCAGTGTGCCTAATAAAAATCCATATTTCCTCCATATTTCATCTGCATACATACAAAATATATATATATATATATATATATATATATATATATATATATATATATATATATATATATATATATATATATATATATATATATATATATATATATATATATATATATATATATATATATATATATATATATATATATATATATATATATATATATATATATATATATATATATATATATATATATATTCGAACAACTAGTGGTGAAACCAGGATTTTATAACGGGAGTCGGATATACATTAAAATAACTAAATTTCGGGGGTTCGGGAATCAAGAAACAGAGAGCCATTTGAAGTATCGGAGCCGAATATACATTAAAATGGTACGAAGGACTTTGAGTTAGCTAATCACCATGTATTACTCCTAATATAGGGTTATTAAAAAGGGATTATTTGAGAAAACCCTCTCATATGCATTGTATCATTAGACTAGATTCTTTTTTTTCCCCCCTTTTTGAGATAAATTCAATGTATTTTATTCAGCAAATTATATTATTAATAACCTATTTTACCCTTTCTCAATTTCTTTTAACCTACCCACGTCTCTCCTCTAGCCGTCTATCACTCTATCTCATTCTCTTCTCTCCCTTCTCTCCACTCCACACCTCGCAGATCTATGCCATCTGGCTTACCCCTCCTCGGCCGCCAATGGTTTGCCGGTGAATGCTTCATCGCCTATTGAAATTTCTGAATTTATTGGTAATTTAAATTGAAGATTCGACCGATTTTTTGCAGTTTGTAATTGGTCATTCAGTCGCCAAATTGGTACACCACAAATGGAACCATCCCTTTTGGATTTTTGGGTTTTTACTACTGATTTTTTAAGTTTCTCGTTTCTTTTTTTTTTTTCCTTTGTATCAAATCTTGGCATTTTTTGTTGGATTTATGTCAGCATATCAATCTAATAAAACCATGTCCGAAATTTATAAATTAAATGGGCGTAAATGTTGAATCTGTTGAATTAATTAGGTGGGCAATGAAAATTGTTTTCGGATTAACTTTAGGGTTGTTTTGTCATTTTTTAAATTTTTTGTTGTAATGAATGTCCATGAAATTGAAGAAGAATATTCAACCACGTCTCATATAATCACTCCTATGAATTAATTTAATATATTATTATTTTGGTGTTTTATAATAGCGGATTTTGATAAGACTATTGTGGATTTTAAGTTATTGTCCTTGTTTAGAAAAAAAAATGAGTGTTTGTGTAGCGGTGAAGGTGTGCAAAATAGTTGTTTTTGTTATCTTTGGCAGTTGTTTTTTTCTATTTTCGTGATAAGTTTTGTTATTTTTGCAAATTATTTTTGTAGTGGATTAGGTTAATTTCTTAGTGGATTATGTTAATATTTGAGTGAGTTTCAATATTTTTTGTAGTGGATTTTGATGAGATTGTAGTGGTTTTCAAATTCTTGTTTTGGAGACTAATTTTTTAATGAATTAAATTTACACGTTGTCTTTTTTTTTTTTTTCCAGGTTCTTCCACAAGCGGAGTCATGGCAACAAGTGGGACGAGGTTGGGTGATGCTCGGGTGACTCTACAATTGTCTGCGGTGACGGTGTTTATTAAAGAGGATTTTTATAGAGGATTTGGGCAAATTTTTAGTGGATTTTCTCTTTGTAAATGTGATTTTTTATAGTGGATTTCTATATTTTTGTAGTGGTTTTTGATGAACTTATAGTGGATTTCAGACCAAATATACCTGATACATGCGCGTGCAATAGAGGAGGGGGTGTCGATGAGCTTACACTAAATAGTGGTTTTCGAACTCTCACGCGACATTAACTAGTGGATTACGTTAGAGGGAAGGGGGTTGACAACGTGTACAATGAATAGTGGATTTCTAACAGTGAATAGTGAATTTCAAATTCAGGCAGTGAATAGTGGTTTACATTAATTTTATAGTGGATTACGATAATTTTTTAGTGGATTTTAAGTTAATTTTTCTTTTTTCAATAGTGAATGTTCATAAATTTTAATGTGTAGTGGATTTCATTTTTCGGTAAACCTGCTTTTCACTAAATTTCGAAATATTTATAGTGAAAAAAAATTCGATAAGTGTGTAGTGGATTTCAATTTGGTAAAGTGAAAAAAAAAATCAATAAAAAATATTAATTAAAAGAATAAACTGTTTTAAAAAACAAAAAATTAAAAATAATAAACGAATAAAAAAATTGAAAAAACTAAAAATAATAAATAAATAAATAATTTTTAAGTAGAAAAAAAAACAATTTTTTTGAAAGAAAAAAAAAATCTGAATGTAAGGATTTGCATATTTACGTGTTTTTTTATTAATTTCCCATACTAATTATTCTTTAATATTATTATGAATATAATAAGGGTAAATGGAGTATTATGCTAAGTGAGGGGTTATTTCTAATAGTGAATAAAAAAATGGATTTATCTCTCTAATGAAATTGTATGAGGGGTTATCTCATATAACCCCTATTAAAAAACAAAATATCAAGTTAATGATATCTTACAATACCACATTGATAATTAATTAAGTTAACAAACAGAGAGAACATTCACATTAGTTCGTTTCCCTTCTTCAACGAGTCCGACTGGCTCACCCCTAGATCGGAATATATAAGCTTCGGCCCTTTATTGATTTATGCATTTTAAGCCTTCTTTATAGGCTTGGATGATCATTAATTAATGGGCAAATTACGGCCAATCTCCTGAGATATGGTTAAATTACGAAAATGAAACTTCTCATATTTGGGTAATTGCAACCACCTATTTCACTTATCTATTCTCTTACGAAAAAATATATATTTTCAGTAGATAAATTTGACACCGTAAGAATGGATGCTATGTAGAACGGAAACTTCAACCTCTTAAAGTTTCCCCGTTTCGGATACCTTTTGTGTCGGACACTCAAGGACACCTGCCGGACACCTCGTGGGCCATTTTGCACTGTTTAAAAAGTTAGAAAAATGTTTGAATAACAAATTTTTGAAATATTTTTGTTGCTTCCCTAATTATTTACACGATATATTGTTCAATTACAAATTGATATTTGATAGTGAAATTTATTTTGAATATGTTTGTATGAAAATATATATAAAAAAATAATAATACATAAATTAAATAGTTATAAATATGTTTATAAATATACTCCTATATTTTTAATATTTACGTGTTCCCTCAAGCTCCCATGTCCCCATATTTGGAATATGCCGTTTTCCTGTATCAGTTTTCCTGTATCACCGTTTCTGTGTCCGTGGCCGTGCCACATAGGATAGACATGTAAGACAATACATACACTAGCGGAGCTAGACTTTTTAACTTTACGGGGGCCGAATGCATTAAAAAATTTATTAGAGGGCCCGATAATGCTAATTATACACGATTTTTTTCAAGTCTTACATAAAAAATAGGGTTTCGAGAATTGGATTGGGGGAGGGGCCATGGCCCCTTCTGGCCCTATGTTGGATCCACAACTGAATACATATTTGAGAGAAGTGATTGTAATTACTCAAACAAGAGGATTTTCTTTTCGTAATATAACCTTTAACTCAGAGTGTTGGCCATAATTTTCCCTTAATTAATTAAATACTAAATAAACCTTACCTCACTTGCGTTAATAATCAGAAGAGAAAACCCTATTTGGATTTGTATATATAATATATGGTAACCTAGCTCCGAACTCTCTGCAGAAAACTCTCACGGCATAATTCATAGGCAAAAGCAGCAATCGATATTATCATCATCATATGTAAGTTTTTTTGATTATGCATGCGCATTACGTATACGAGATTTAATGTTAAACGAGCGGTAAATTTATCTTATTTTAAATAATTATGAAAACCCTAATTAATCAACACTCCCATTACGAAACAGAAATGGCGAACTCCGACCTTCCAGAAGAAATACTTCTCCCAATTTTCTCTCTCCTCCCCGCACAATCGATAGGCAAATGCCGGTGCTTATCGAAATCGTGGCGAACTCTTCTCTCCACACCGCAGTTCGTCAAATCCCACCTCAATTGGAATGCAGTACACCAGAAACAAGTCTTTTAATCTCTCATTCCTCCCCCGCCGCACTCCAATCGATCGACGCCGTCCGAAACAACGGCGTCGTCGTCCCGCGACTAATCGAGCTGCCGCACGGATGGCAGATCGGCGTCGCCGGTTCGTGCGACGGATTGGTTTTGCTGCTGAATCATAAAAACGAAATCTTTCTACTCAACCCCGTCACTCTGCAGTGGGCGAGGGTCCCGGATTCGTACAAGACGAGGTACTACGGCTGCAAGTACGGGTTCGGGTACGATGCTTCCTGCGACGACTACAAGATTTGTCGAAACGTGTTTGTACATTGGCGGTCGTGCGAGTTTGTTATGTTTCCACTCGAAGAATCTTACAGAAACTCAGAAACTTAGAGAGATGTTAGAAGATTTAAACATAAATAAACATATATGAATTAAGAAGAAAGATTGAAAAGTAATATTGAATAAATCACAGCTCAGTCTTCCAAACCAATTCACACCAGAGATCAACAGAGGTCTCAAATCGTAACACACAGACTAAGATTGCACCAACAGAGAACAGATCTCTCTCTCTCAAACCCTAATCCACCCAGATCAGAGGTAAAATCAAGAAAACGATGCACTCAGCAACTCACCCACTCAAGACAGACCCAACTCCCAGAAGAGAGGGGTAAGGCTTTGAAACTAGGGTTTTTCTCAAGCTTTTACCCTCTGGCACTCCACTCCCCGCATTAAATAGAAGCTCCAGTCAAAGGTAATCGTTGAAGGGACCACCACTG